ATTGTGTGTGTGTGTGTGTGTGTGTGTGTGTGTACACACCCCACATCTTCATCCATTTATCTGTCGAAGGACATTTAGGTTGCTTCCATGTCTTGCCTATTGTAAATAGTGCTGCTATGAACATTGGGACGTGCGTATCTTCTCAAATTAGTTTTCTCTGCATGTATGCCCAGGAGTGTGATTGCTGGATCATATGGTAACTCTATTTTTGGATTTTTAAGGAACTTCCATAGTGGCTGCACCAATTTACATTCCCATCAACATTTTAGGAGGGTTCCGTTTTCTCCACACTCTCTCCAGCATTTATTATTTGTAGACTTTTGAATGATGGCCATTCTGACTGGTGTAAGGTGATATCTCATTGTGGTTTTGATTTGCATTTCTTGAGTAATTAGTGATGTTGAGCATCTTTTCCTGTGCTTGTTCTGTTGGCCATCTGTATGTCTTCTTTGGAAAAATGTCTATTTAGGTCTTCTATCTTCTATTTTTTTGTGCATAAATGAGAAGACAGCAGTATATTCTCTTACATTATCTTCTACCTCACATGAAAATAGTGTATTCTAGGTATCTTTCAGGTTTTGCTTTTTCACTCAACAGCATGTCCTGAAAAGTACTTTCTAGCAGTTTATAACATTTTCTTCATTTTTGTGAGAGTTTCATAGCTTATTCAACCACTTTCTTATGTATCAGCATTTAGGCCATTTCCAATCTTTTGCATATGTATTTCTGTGATGTTTGAGTTCTATCTTTAGGGTAAATTCCTTGAAGAGGGGCTGCTGGATCAAAAGGGTTACGTATTTCCAAATTTTCCTCCCTGAAACTTTATTTTGCTTTTTTTTAAAAACTTTTATTGATTTATAATCATTTTACAATGTTGTGTCAAATTCCAGTGTAGAGCACAATTTTTCAGTTATACATGAACATATATATATATTCATTGTCACATTTTTTTCTCTGTGAGCTACCATAAGATCTTGTATATATTTCCCTGTGCTATACAGTATAATCTTGTTTATCTATTCTACATTT